GCTCCAAATAACTCATCCTGAGTCCTTCACATGTGAATGATTCCACAGGCTTGACAGGAGAGTCAGGGAAGTCATTTAAAGAGCACCTGGAACAGATCTGGGTTTAACCTTTCTTCTGGTTTTTATTTTTCTGCATCAGATTTAACAAGTGTGAGAAAAAACTCAAAGTATGAGTGATGTTTCCTGAAAGACGTGTGGGTGGTGAAGACGTCTTCACGATGGCTCGACTTTCTGCTTTCATGGAGCCACAAAGCAACACCTCAACAGCTCGAGCTTTCCTGGAAACACACAACGGCTAGTGTGTGTGTGTGTGTGTGTGTGTGTGTGTGTGTGTGTGTGTGCGTGTGTATTGTACTCTGTCAGTAGATGTTTGAGCTCAAAGAAGAACATGTTCCATGAGGGCCGACTCTGTCACTGATAATAAAATGTTTTAAACCACCAGAGAGCATCCCATCCTGTAAACCTCTACATGTGTAGCATACGGAAAGCCTGAGTGTGTCTGTGTGTGTCTGTGTGTGTGTGTCTGTGCGTGTAACTGTGTGTGTGTGTGTGTCTGTGTGTGTGTGTCTGTGCGTGTAACTATGTGTGTGTGTATGTCTGTGTATGTGTGTTTGCGTCTGTGTGCATGTGTGTTATCTGCAGTGTGAAGATGCTGATAGGACCCTGCAGAGGTGCATTGATGGTGACCACATTCATATTTAATTAGTGAGGCGTCAGTCAGAGGTGATGGCAGCTCACAGCGGTGTCCTCTTCGTCACCTCGGCTCACTCCGGCCGTATCGACACAGACGTGGTGCAGAAGTTCAAAGGATGAAACGATGCTGCTGCATAGCTGCAGATCTGAGCAGCAATCACAGGTTGAGAGTCTTCATGGAAGCAAATGACATCAGCGTGTTGACAGAAGCATGTTGTTGCTGTATAAAATACTGACAGTGGTTTTTGCATAAATATGAAAATCCAAGGTCACTTCTTTCTGGAGTTGTAAAAACTGGACCTCTGACCTTGAAGTCAGAGTTGGAGGTGAAGTTGTCTGAAGGTCTAGGATAGATAAATGTTCCTAGCTTTGAGGCTGAAGACCTGCAGGGACCAGCTGTTACCTAAAAACCCACCACCTCCACCTTTTCCTAATGAATTTGAATCATCTTTAAAGAAGTGATTTTTAAAAGGTTTCGGTTTAGCGCACAGCATGTTAGGTATTTGAGATTACAGTATTGACATCATCCCCCACTCTTCCAGAGTGGATGAATCTGCATCCGGTGTCCCGTGCTGCTCTCAACCTGAGGAGGTTCAGCTCGATGGTTTTTGTGTAAACAGAGAAACCGGCTCACTGAGCTCATACCTCCACCGAGGAAAAGCCGATTTAATTCATATTTCTGAGGTTTGGAGGCTCCACTCCTTCGAGGGCTCTCTGCATGAGATTATATTTTCTGGGGTTTCATTGATCGTGCCCAGTTTTCTGCCTCACAGGAAGCCTTTGATTTCTCTGCTCATCACTGGAGGGCATGAATCTGGAGGTGTTGTCAGTCACTGATGTAAATTTCCTAAAACACTGAGGGAAATGTCATGATGCCACGCTTCATGATCTGTCCCTGAGCCGCAGATACAGCTGTCTTTTCCATTGGAGTTGTGTGATTGGATGTGTTAGGCTGAGACTTAATGGTGTCCACACGTGTGTGTTCACACTCAACATGCTGGTGTGACATTCACACGCGTGATTGGATCTCACCATAGCCCTGGAGACGAGGAGGTGTCGTTGTTCTGTAGATCCTGATCGTGTGTGAGGGCAGCAGACGTGCTCAGCTCTGCTGCTGCAGGTAGAGCTGCAAACATCACGACCCACCCACCCAGTCTCTGAGCACACCATTAAATACAAAATCACCGCCCATTTTATTAGGTACACCTGTTCAATCCGTCATTAACACTGATGTCTAATCAGCCAATCGCACGGCAGCAGCTCAGAGCCTTTAGGTGTGCAAACGTGCTGGAATTCAAACTAGAGGTGGTCTCGTCCAGGTATCGATAGTATCAGATCGATGCTTTGTTTCTATCCTATATGTGCAGCTCACTGAAGCGTGTTAAATAAGGTTTTTTTTAAATAAAATTCTACACCCCGAACATGAGCTATGAAACATGTCTGTGCTGACTGTCTGCTTTATTTACAGCCTGTAGCACAGTTAAACTACAGACGCTGAGCCAGACAACTCTACATTCAGCTCAGTTTCAAAATAAAAGCTGGAAGGTATGTTTTACTGTGTTAACTGCTTATTTTAAAAGTAAAAGTCACAGTGATTTAGTGATACTTAAAATGTCTTCAGAATTTGCAAACTGATGATGGTTCATCTCATAAATCAGGACGTACTTCACCTTCATCACAAAGGCAGCAACACCTGCAAAAACTGTGTGATGATGTCATGATGATGTCATACCATGGAACAAAATCTGAGGAACGTTTCCAGCAGCTTGTTGAGTTAAGGCAGCTCTGAATGAAAAGAGCCCATCCACGTCCTAACAAGGTGTAACTAATAAAGTGGCCAGTGTTTAATTAAAGTCTAAGAACACATTGGCGGCATAAAGTAAATGTAAAGAAATGAACACACACACTGTGTCCTGTCCCTCAGTAGGCTTCCAGACGTTGGCCATCAGGGAACAGGATGATACAGAAGGATGATTCTTAACTGTGAATCATGCAAAGCCACTCTGATAAATTCCATGAGTGAAAAACGGAGCAGGGCACGATCAGGGAGCGCTTCATTTAAACCCACTAAACTCAGGATGTTCAGTATTTGGATGAAGCCGCTCATGAGAAGAAACCTCAGCCTGTCAGTCACATTTAATCAGCACTCAGGTAAAACAGATCAGACTCAATGAAGCTCAGCTCGTTAACAAAGAAGCTGCACTGATGCCGATGGTGTCTTACCACGTTGCTGATGATATCGTTTAATCAGCACCTCACAGGCCGTCAGCTGACCCCCTCTCCCTGTAATGTTCTGTAGCCAGTGAGCAGAGACCTGTCAGACATGCCGCCAGTCTTTCGGCCTGCTTCTGCTCCACTTAAGACTATTTGCCTGTTAGCAGCTGACCCAGGGTCAGCCAGTCTGGGCGTGTCCCTGTGTATCATGAGCTCATCAGAAACATCCTGCACAGCGGTGGTGGTCAGAGCAGTCTGCCTCACAGGCAGGAGATGCTAATCAGCACCACTGTACATGTGAATGCAGGTGATTACATGTAATCACATGTGGGTACATGTGATTGCAGCACTCAGACCTGACATGGACACGACTACAGCACTTTCACTGCTCCTGCAGCGTGCTCACTGTTAAACCCTAACACAGCTGCAGGACACAGAACCACTTACACTGCCTCCTGTTACAGTCCTAATTAGGTCACATGGTGAGTGCACTGATGGAGCTGAAGGTGTTGATGGAGGAAGGACAGACTTCTGTGCTGCTGTTTGTTGGGTGGATGCGAGCAGGTGGATGCTGTGTTGTTTAGGATTGTGTCACAGTGAGCTGGCTCTGAGAGCAGGGCGCCCTGACTGACGGAGGCATGTTCTGTGTCTGTTTGTAGGTCTGTGTGCGGCGCTGATTGCTGTTTTGTGTGGTTTTCTTTCTTCACAGTCTGAGTTGTTAAAATGTTTCTGTGTGGATGTTGAGTCTCTCTATTAAACACGTCCAATATATAGTTTTATATATTTGAAGAAGGATGAAGACTGATTGACTCTGAATCATGGAGCAAACTTAAGCAGTAAGTGGTTTATGCAGGATTACAGAGGATTAGTCACATGAGCTCGTACAGCGTACCAAAGACAGCTCTTCTTCATTTAAGTTTATCTGAATTCATCACAACAACTCAGACATCCTGATAAAAATATCATTTATAAAATCTCAGCTTTGTATTTAGAGTTTTCTGTTTTAGGAAGAAACACAGTTACAATGATGACCTTTAACCTGTCCAATCACGTTGATCTGTGATCACTCTGCTCTCATCCTGTGATTATTGGGCATGCGGGTGCAGGCTAGAGGGCTGACGGAGCAATCAGTCACACATCGTTCGTGTGATTTTAATATGTTATTCAGTACAAACATGTCACTGGGTTTACACAAAGATCGCATGTTCCTGGCGACTAATTTCTTAGTCTACTAAAAAAAAGATTCTTCAACAATGAACCATGCCGCTTCATTATCAACATTACACGTTATACTCCAGACAGCGAGGCAGAAAAACACTTTAAATAAACTGATGTTAAATATTGTATGAAAACATGTTAGTACAAAAGTTCACGTGTTATTAAAACTGTGACTGAACAATGTGCCGTGCATTATCAAAGCTGGTTATTGTTCATCCACTTCAATAAAAGTTCAAATCTAAAATAACACATTAAATCATTCATTTATTTTCTTCTGCTGATCTGAAGTTGGGTCTCGGGGGCAGCAGCAGGGAAGCCCAGACCTCCTTCTCACCACATCCTCCAGCTTATCCAGAACCATCAAGGCGTTCCCAGGCTAACCTCCTCTCTGGAAGACAAGCCCGGCCAGAATAGACAGGAGGCGAAATGTTCACTTTTCTACAATAAGTGAAGCTTCTCTGTAGTTATTATTCAAATTCACCTGTCTAATGGTGCATGCTGTAGTAGTGCTCTTATTATTTTGTCAAAGGTGACTTTCTGTTGTTCCTCTGAGTTTTTCTTTGTTTTTGTTTTTCTTTGACCTCCGGCCTTCGGACTTTTCAAAGTAAGTGGAGAAGCAGAAAAACACAGTTAATCATAAAAACAGAAATCGAAGCTTTCAGTCTAAAAGTGTCTTTTGGGAGACGCGAGAGTGCCGCGAGTGGAGTGATTACAGCCTTGCTGATTGGAGCCTTGCTGTCAAGTCGCTCTCTGAAAACGTTCAATTATCTTTCAGCAGATTATTTCATTAAGCGCACAAATTAGTGCAAGCTCGGGCACAAAGACGTGTGTGAGTCTCTTTAATTTATCTTTTATCTCTTCTCTCTCTGCAGATTCATCTCTGACCAAGATGAGCCCCTGCTCCGAGGCAGGGAAACCCTGTAACCCCTGTCTGGATGCGGCGAAGGCTTGTAACCTTAACGAGACGTGTAAACGTCTCCGATCTGCCTATAACTCCATCTGCAGCAAGACCACGCCCCCGCAGCCCTCTGCGGGCTATCAGGAGCCGTGTAGCAGGAAGCGGTGTCAGAAGGTGGGTGCAGCGCCTGCCCAGCGTTCAGCTCAGCTGCATGGAGCTCAGCCTATTTCACACTTTCACACAGCGTAGATAAAAAAAAAAAAAAACCTCCGAACTTCTCCACAACAGCATCCTGCTCCAGCGTCAGAGGCAGGGAATGTGGGAATGTAGCAGGGAGGTAGTTTAAAGACAGGGAACATAGCTCTGACCCAGACTGCAGGTACAGGCTGCAGGTTACAGGCAGGGGATGCTTAATAAGCCCTGTTTTATGCTGAAGGTCCTTCAGGCCTCATCCTCCTGGTCACACAGGCACAATTTTCTGTACTGAAGCAAGTGGTTTAACTCACACTCACTCTGATGGATGCACCAGGCTTTAGTATCTTGCCCAACATTTCACTGTGTGTTATACTTGAATAACAGGTGACAAATAAAGAACCTTGAACCTTGAACCAACGGTACTTCAACATACAGACTGCAGTAGCAGGGGGTCAAACCTCCAACCTTCTGATTCGTCAATAACTGCTCAGGGTGGCAGTTGAGCTCAGTGCGTTAAGCCGGCACCCACGTGCTGTACGGCTGAGAGCGGCCGGCCCAGGTTCAAATCGGACCCGCGGCCCTTTGCTGCATGTCTTTCCCTCTCTCTCCCTCTGCTTTCCTGCCAGTTCTTCACTGTATCTGTCAATAAGGCCAACATAAAAATTAAATAAATAACCGTTTTTCCTTCTGAGCCTCTGACTGAAACTAGTTCATGTAAATTGAGAGCATGCAGCACTCACTCACAGACTGATCTGTTTATCAGGTAATAATACCTGCAGGTGTAAATTATGTAATTATTCTCAGATGATCTTTTAGTACAGTAACCTCATAGCAGCCATATTGTTGGTCAGATGATGTCATTAAAAATGCTCCACCAGCACAAACATATGCACATGTGCAGTTAGCACACAGCTAGCACTGACAGCTGCCCATGTCTCAGCGCCCTTCACAGTGATTGAGCATCATTTACAGCATTTGTGGCACCCTGAGGCTCAAACCTCACGGCCTCCATGTTTAAACCGTCCGAGGTTCTCTCTGATGATGGTGATGATGTGACGGCGCCTGGACTGCAGAGCTGGTGTTATGGTATCAGCGCTGTGCAGGCTGTGATGCTAAAAGCTTTCTAAAGGCTAAAAGGTTATTAACGTTTCAAGTTCCTCCTCCTCGCTTTTGCTTTTATGTCAGTGGCAGAATTACACAAACTGTTTGTTGGAATAAAACCTTTAAAAACAGTCAAGTAAAAGTGCAGCATCTAAAATGCTTTTTTAATATGGTTATTTTCCACCTGAGAAAGCATCTAAATTCAGCTCCACAGCTCCGAGGCTGAGCTGAACACCCCTGGGCTCCATGGATCACAGACTCCTGGGAAAATCCAATAAGTCTGTGTGTCCTCATCACCGGGCCACAGCCAAACACCTGCAGAAAAACTACCAGTTTTGCTCCCGGCTCAGAGTAGTGAGGAGTTTTTACCAACTGTAAGTCAGTGACACTGAAGATGCTCAAACACAGATTCAGTGCAGCAGATTTTAATGTTAGGATCCAGAGCAGCCTCTCTGAGCGTGTCAGGAAACATCACAGCTGAAGTAATTCTAGACTCGTCGTGTTTCAGCTTCAATATTGCCTCAGGGCGTTTCATATTGTAAGGTCACAACCCTGCAATTATAATAATGCAAAAGGTAACATCCTGTTTGATTCAGTCACACCTGACAGGAAACAGTTAACTGAGCTCAGAGACCAGTCGAACAGGACGCTCAGACTTCTAGAACAGACTTCTATCCAATCAGACCTGAGGAATCACCCCCTGATGGACATGAGAAAGACTGCAGGCAAAGTCCATCTTTTATCTACAGTTTATGTCTTCAAATGACGCCACAAACAATTCTGACAAGTCTAACAAGCAAAACAAATAAGCTGCTTCCAAAGAAGTTTAGGCCTTCACCTGGATTCTAACAAAAACATTTAGACCTATTGATCTTTTAACCCAGATGTTTCAGACCCATTCACACCGGTGTATAAGACCAGCACCTCGCCTCTACAAACATTAGTGAAAGAATGACTCGTCACTGTGCTGTAACGCTTGAAAAAGTGTTTCCTCCTGGTTGTTCCTTAATCAGCTGTCAGTGAGATTAGTGGAACGCTATGTTAGTACTGGGGTCACTGCGGCGCTCCAGATCTCCTTCAGCATTAACATCAGCACAGAAGTTGTGTGCCGGGAAGTTCACACTGAGGGCCTCCTGCAGGTGTGACGTGAACAACTTTTATCCGTGTACAACCCCAATCCTGACAAAGTTTTCATGCTGAATTAAACGTGAATAAAAAGAGAATGCAGTGATCTCAGAAATCTAGAATTTATTCTCAGTAGAAAACAGAAAACATGTCACGTGTTTAAACTGAGGAAATTCAGTTTTAATAAAAATCTAAGCTCATTTTTAATCATTCTGATTTCTTTTTAACATTTTACTCAGCGTCCCAACCATGTCGTAAAGCTAGTGAGGATTAAATCAAAGGGACCAGTGATGCTGCAGATCCCTCCTCAGTGAAACAGACCACTTTGCCACTTTTCTCTTTCCAGATATTTTTTCCTAATTTGGAAATTCCTAGTTTATATTCCAGATAAATGCAGACACCAGTCCCGGCCAGGCAGTTGTCTCCCTCGGCACTTAGGAAAGTGATATTATTATTTAACAGGCTGTGCTATACTGTTAGTGCAGGCTTCTTTTCTCATATTAAGGGATAATAGTTTAGTGCTTTTAGCTTTTTCACTGCACTCAATCACCTGTACCACATTCCTTGTCTTGTTGACCTTTTTCTTGGCGCCATGTGTTTCAGGCCCTGCGACAGTTTTTCGAGCGGGTGTCATGGGAGCTGAGCTACCCCCTGCTGTTCTGCTCATGCCCGGACCAGGCGTGTGCTGAGCGTCGCCGTCGCACCATTGTCCCGTCCTGCTCACACCAGGAGAGGCACAAAGCCAGCTGTCTGGAGCTGCGGCGCACCTGCCGCTCGGACGCCCTGTGCAGGTGAGCCACCCTTGTTAGGCCTCGTTAGGGCTCCTCAGCATGATTTCCGCCAAGCCCGAGGAGGAGCTAATCAATGAAATCAGCAGCTCAAGAGCTTAATGGGGAGAAATCTCACAGCCTCACAGGTGCAAATTACACATTTGATTGATAAGCACCGGCTTTAAAGGTGAGAGAGGCTCAAAGTGGGCAAGTCAGCATTTCACACACACACACACACATTCACATACACAAACACTCACGCACACACACCTGCCCCCTTTAGCAACTACAGGCCAGGCATCCTTGAGAAGGAAGCACTGCCGGGAAAAGGCTCACACATGATTGGATGGTTTTCCCTGCGTAAGTATGAGCTGAATCCACTGATGGAGGCAGCACCTGACTTGAGACAGAGCTGTTAGGTCATGTGAATGATGCTGAAGAAATCCCTATTTTTCCATATGTGCAGGTCGGTCTTCTAAACATCTGGATTTATGCTTCTCCATTGAACTAGCTGCATCTGAAGACAGTTAAGCTTAATCTCATCATCAATCAATCAATCAATCAATCTTTATTTATAAAGCACTTTTCATACAAAAAAAAAAATGTAGCACAAAGTGCTTTACATGGTTAAAAGCAGCCCCCCCTCCCCCCCACCCCCCACACACACACACACACACACGCGCGCGCACACTTAAAAAGTAAAATTGGACTGGGTACGCATGAGCCAAGTGACCTCAAAAGCACTCACAGTGCATATGTTCTTATCCCTCAGTTAGAAAAATCAAGTTTATCTTAATATAATAAAGTTCCAAATATGAAAATGTGAGAAGAAAAGAGCCAGAGTGGTAAGAAAATATGACGAAAACTGTACATCAGAGACTCTCTACCCCCCTCCCTCCACGGAGGGGTTAGTAGTTTGCTTACAGAGCAAATCGGTCCATCGCCCTTCACAGAGAGCGCTGAGCCATCTGGAGAACAGGAAGAGCTACATGAGGATGCTCTTCATAGACTACAGGTCAGTCATTTATTAATATCCAAGAGCTGTGTTTGGATTGATGACCATTTGAACCTGAACCTGTTAGTCGAGCTCTGGGAGCAGATCTCACGCTGGAATCAGGCCTCCTGTTCCTGTAGGTCAATTTTATCGCCACCTTCAGTCCGTCAGTCCCTGTTTGGTTTTTTAATTTCCTGCTCCACATTTTCAGCATTTTCATTGGTTCAGCCTGGCTGTTGAGGCTGAGCTCACAGAGCTCACTGCCATCATTTAATGATGCAAACTGTTTCCTTTCAGCACCTTCATACATTCAGCACAGAGTTGGGGTCAGACTCATCTCATCAAGCTTATTCATGTATGAGTGGGGAGTGTGTGTGTTAGTGTGTATGTGTGTGTTAGTGTGTATGTGTGTGTTAGTGTGTATGTGTGTGTTAGTGTGTATGTGTGTGTGCGCACTCAGCCTTGAGGGTGGAGGTTAAGCACTTGATGGACTTGTCTGATTAAAGTGAGCACTTTTCGTGGTTTTGAGTGATGAAGCTGCTTCAGCAGAGAAACAGAAATATCAGATGTGCAGTCATGCAGTGAGGCCGGTGTTTTCAGATGTTTCATACAAATAAACACAGACATTTGTAACAAGGACTGATTACCTGCACGAGTCAGGCTTACAACATGAAGAGGAACTTGAAGTTAGAGTAGGGCGAGCCGTCACAGCGGCACGAAGATAATGAGCGAACACAGTGGACATACAGTCAACTCTGACACATGTTTATCAGTCATTGATATATCGATCGGGTTATTATTGATGCTAACGGACCGCCTGACTGCTGCCAGGGACCACACAGCCAGAGGTTATGGCTGCTGCCTTATAAAACGTGGTGATCCTGCTGATCAGTGCTAATTTAGGGCGTCTGTTCTTGATGTTCATAATGTGCCTTCTATCAGTCCCTGTCCTTCCATACCTACTTATACCGGTATATAGTTTCTATAGATATTAACAACAA